TGCCAATCGATGAAACAATGACAATGAAAGATAGAAACTTATGATTGTAGTTAATCCCTTTAAATGAATCATCGCACATGTAAATATCTTTTTATGCTACATAATTTCTCCGGCACACGTGCTAGCACCGTGAGTTTAACTGACAGAGATAGACGGACTACGGTCCTTGGCAATTCCGCGAATCTTGATGCCAATGGCATCGACCGCACAACGCTTAGAGAAAAAGATGAATAATTGATCTTTTCGCTTGGCGCCACAGCACTTTTTGCGATGGGGAACGGCGAATGACATTCCAGGGACGCACGCCTATCGGACGGCGCCAAATTAACGGACGGACGCACGAAGTCAAGAGCTAAAGGCGCTAGGCAATTCTCACATTTCGCTATACCTATCGGCTCGTATTACGATTAATTTTGTGGAACGCATAATCTTTCTTGTTCAAATATCATCCGTCCATTTTTTGAGAGAATTAGTATCTCTGAGGCTTCTCTCTCTTTATGTACGTTCGTGTCTTTATGCGTGTATGTAGAGAGAGAGAGGGACAAGTAAAAGGCAGTGCTATCAAGCGTTTCCTAATTATTTTTTCTCTTTACTTGTTTACATGTATTAAGTAGTTCTGCTATAAATCATCAATAGGTATAAAATATACATGGCTATCCTGCGGTATGTGTTCTAGTTCTGATAACTTATTATCACAAACGTGAAAAATGAAAAATTTCTCTATAAAACTTTTTTGCAAAACATTCAGGAAAACAAAAATAATTATATATATATTGACATGGAAAAAGAAGAGATGAATATAGAAAGACAATAAGAGCAATGGAAGAAGGAAGTAAAAAATTTGAAATATGTATACATATACATTTATTATTAATTAAATATTTATATTAGTAATATCTTAACAATATAAAATTATATTAATTATGTTTATATAAATATATATAGATCAGTTTCCATGTATGTTTATATGTAATTTAATAAAAACGGAAAAGATAAAAAAGATAACGGTAAGAGACAAAGCGAAGGAACGAGGGTCTGGTAGCAATAAAGAAATAGGAGAAAGATAGAGAAAGATTAAGTATACGTGTGGATATATACCTATAAGAGAGAAAGAGAGAAGCAATTACGGAGACTCGGAGATACAAGAATAAAGTGGGTAGAGATACTTGATCATATAAAGATAAAAATATATAAGATATAAGCAATGAAACATTTATTAGAAGTCAATAAATTTTGCATCAATAAATTTTGATTTTTTATAAAAGAATTTTGATTTTTATAAAAAATTTGCTCAAATATTTATAATGCACTAAAGTATTATTAAAAATAAACCATAAATTAGATTGATAAACCAGGAACTTATGTATAATAATTGATACTAGATGTTTTTCATTATGTTAATCCATACTGATTAAATATCTGTAACTTGAAAATGTAACAGAATATTACTTTCATTGTTAACTATGATTTTATAAAAAATATAAAATGTAATTAATTTTTATTAATTTGATTAATCTAATTTAACATTAATTTAAGAAATTAATACTAAACAAACTAAGAGACTTTTTAAATTTCGATTTCAGTGTAAATGCCTCTATACATAATGATTAAGATTAAGTAAATATTAGAAGATTTATTTAATAGTTTCATTCACTTTAATAAAATAATAAAATCATGTGTAAAATTTGGTTGTTTTCCAATGGTATATATATATTTATACACACACATGCACACATTATATTCTAAACTTATATTTTAAATATCAGAAAAAAGATGTCCACTTTTCTTTAATTATACATTACTTATTTTCTATACTCAAATGATGCATTCAAAATTTTGATAATATTTCTAAATTTTTAAAATCAATTAACAAAAAATTTATCAATTGTTCTTCAAACTAAACATTGACAATTTAGAAGATAAATATTATATGATATTATATGATATAACTAGTTATTGCAAATACTACTGCCAGGTACTGTCGCGATGATGCAATGTACCAATCTAATATGATTAATTTTAACATTATACATATACATAAATGTAATACATTTTTTCATAGTTGTAATATACTGTTAAGTTTACTAATTTCTTATAATTAAAATTAATATAAATAATTAATTAAATATATACTTATATAAATAAAAATCATACACATAAATTTTAATTATTTAATGTGCAAATATATTTATGAAAAATAATAGTCAATCAATCCTAATATTTTTATGAATGATAACATTTTACTTATACAGACTTTCAAAGCCTTCTTTTATTAAACTAAATATACAATTATTTGCTTTTTTCCGTGTATCATGAAATTATAAGGAAAATTAAAGTTTTAAAATATTTAACATACGTATATATTCAATTTCTTATTTTTTATATTAATTATAGTTAAAAATCTTTTTCAAACACAATATTATTTTTTCCTGATGCTATATCTTAACATGAAATGAATAATAAAATATATTGAATAATATTGAAGAATTTATTGTTATTTTAATTAATTTAATATTAATTAATTCATTATTTTTTAATATAATATTAAGATATATAAAGAGAGAGAGAGGGAGAGAGAGAGAGAGAGAGAGAGAGAGAGGAATAATATTATATTTGAAAAATTGTTTTAAAAGAATATAAAATAATAAAATTTATAATTTTAACATATTTTGATCAATATTGTGAGTAGTATTTTCCAAGTATTAAATAATGATGTAAAATGCAGATTTGTATGAATTAAAAAAAAAAATAATAATAATACAAAGCTGTATTGATTATTAAATAGTCAATTGGAAAAATCAATGAAATAATGTTTTTAATATAATATTTTCTAAAAATATTGCACTGCATGAAAATCTAAAATCCAGAAGGTAAATTTATCTTTTATACATATCATATATATCTTGTTATTGCAAATATTTATCATAATGACACTTTAGTCTTGAAACAAATACTCTCATGACTATTACGTTAAATTAATACATGGATATTTAACATATATATAATCTAGAAGAAAAAATTGTAGGTCATATAATGATCATAAATAATTATATTATGAGTGATTCGTATACTATTGATTATTAACTTCGATCAGCTTAAGTTACGAGGGAAACTTAGCAAGTGAGGCACGATCTTAACCACATTGGTGGTTAGGATGTGAAAGGTACATGAAATAATTTTCATTTAGATTTGTCGAATTGAAAATGAAATGCTATTTCATATATATATATATATATATATATATATATATATATATACAGATATTCTTTCTAAAGTATACTCGTTAACAATAAATATACAGTGCACAATATAATAGAAAAAAATATTTAAATAAACAACTCACGTAAATGATAATTAATTGTTATCAGTAACGTTTGGAGTGCGAACCTCCAGATGGGTTTGTGAATGGATACGTACACTTGTATAGGCTTACGCTGATGTACACCATTACTGACCATATCTCGCAGTGTCAGATGATAAATTACAATTGGACTGTCTTGCTTGTGTTACATTCTGACTATTTTAGAGTTATTGCTACACAGATATGGCGTTCGACTGACATTCTAACAAAACCTCTTGTATGAATGCGGAATATTCAAATTGTCAACTATTGATGAGTGGCACATTAATTACTGTTCCAAATTTTAAATTTAGATATTTTGAAAAATCAGATAATATCCACTATTATTTTATGAATTCTTATAAAATTAAAAATACAATTTTTTGTGTTTTTTTTTTTTTTATATATGTTTTAAATAAAATCCTAAGAATGCAAATCACTGAGAAAAGATAAATCACTTTTGGCGATCTCATACCGAACAGCTTAATTCAAAAATTGTAAGGACATGTATAACTACTTACTTATATTTCCTTATGTTCTAATATTAAATAATATTAATACGAAATTATTTAAAAATTAAGTAATTAAAAATTAAATACAGGTATTCAATCGTAAAAATTAAAAAATGATTAATTAGAACTCTATACATATGTCCACACAGATATATATATATATATATATATATATTCTTATTTTTTAAGTTGCACATAAGTAATCTTACTTAATTCATATAAGAAATTTTGTGAAAATCCAGAAGTAAGCTTTTACGTTAAATTTGAGTAATACTTTTTCTCATATAATTTGTATTGTATAGCTTTATAAACAGATTTTCACACTTGCAAACATTATAATAGTTCCATTTTGTTGAATAACTGACAAATAATTAAAATTTATATTAAAATTATCGGAATATTAAATTATTTTCATAAATTTTTAAAAATCATATTAATATTCTATAAAATAAAAATGAATGTTTATATAAAATAATAAGGAATTAATTACCACAAACCACTACTGTTTCATTTTAAATTTCATAAAACAAATTTCGAAATTTATACATTAATAATTTACAATATGTTATAAATTAGTAAGGTATTGTTGGAATATTTTATTTGAAATAGATTATTACTATATAAGAATTATCTTATAAGAATAAATGAAACATATTTTCCATTTTTATCATTATTAACTTTTTGAATATTTTAATGTATAAATATATGATTATAATTAACATTTAACAGTTCGAGTATTTTCATATTTTTATAGTATTTACAAAAATTGAATACTAGACCTTTATACATTGTTTAAATTTTATAATTCATAGATATATATGTCTAGAAGACAAAATATGTTGGAAGTGTAATTGCACAAAGGCCGAATGGCGGAAGCCAATGTATAATTTAAAAGGAGCAGTTTTAATTCAGGGGACATTTAGGCAGCGTCGCTAGTGGTAAGCTCCGTGGGCGGTGTTGTCATTTTCTCATGACGAAATGTTCCAGACTCCTCTTCCTTCAGTCATTCTCCTTTTTTCTTCAATCCTGTAGTACCACTCTTTATTTTCGTCGCACGCAGTATGAACATACCGGAGGGATAGCGAGCCCGGTTCCGTCGTATTGAGTGGGTGGGTAGGGGACTCGGATGGCACGAATCTCGGAGATGCCGCAAATGTATGAGACGAAGGAAAACTTAATGTATGTTTGAGCCGAATATTCTTTGCGTGCATTAATTGTTTGGAAAATATCGTTTCTTACGATAACATTGTAGATAACATTAATTTATGAAATTTCTATACTATTCTAATGAAGTAAATGGAATGACAGTATTAGTCATATTGGAGGACGACTTCATTATTCTCAAATTTCATAAAGTTAGTGATGATAATCATTAATAATAACATTCATTTTATATGAATTAAATTGAATTTATATTAATATGATTCAACTCAAAAGTCTATAAATTTCTAATTTACTCATAGGAAAACATTTGGTATGAAAAATTATATATATCTAAAATATATTGTTCTACTTTTCTGTTCTAGATGATTCTTTGAATGAATACACTCATAAAGATGCTGAAAAACTCTATTTGCTGTTTTGTGAAACAAGAGAGTAAATTGTCTTAATATTTAAAAGTAACAGCTTACAACAAAGAATGCATTTCTTTATTAATTTTCTTTTGATAAACTTCGTTTATGCAGCCCATGATTTTTCATCGATCAAACCCAAAGGTAAATAACATTCTATACATTTTAGGAAATTAAAATTCAATTTTTTACAATATGTTAGGAGAAATTATAATTATATATACAGCTATTTATTTATGTGTGTAAATTTTGTAATAACTGCTTAATTATTTCTATAATTATCTTCTCATTATTATTTTGAGAACTTCTTGATTTATTAAAAAGATTAAAAAATGAAAATATTATTTAAAACAAAAGTAATATGGGTACTCTTTAATTAACTATTAATTATTCAACGATTTATTATAGCATTCTTCTTAATAACATATTTATGATGTAAATAATATATAATAATAGCAAGAAACTAATTTAAAATATTATAAAATTAAAATAATAATTAATTTAATAATTTAATATAACTAATTTCAAATATTATAAAAACTTAATATTACTAGAGCTTTTAAAAATTAGTAATTATGTGCATTATGACTAAAAATGTGCACAGTCTTATAGAAGATATAAAATAATTGATAGAATTATTTGTTGCAAAAGAATCTGTAAATTTTAATAGATGTTAGTATAGTGTGGCCTGTAATAAATGATAAATTAAAAATTTTAATTGTAACAGTTGCTATGGATTATCTTGCGCATGAAATACTATAAAAGTTTTATTCTTCTAATTTTTAATTAACAATAAATTTTAATTAACATTAATTGTATTTATGTTTTACTGCTTGCAAAATTGCTTTACGTATATATTTTTGTAGTTTTGTGAATTTATAAAATTATGGTATTTAGATACCTTCAAATATATATTTAGAAAAGTTGCAGAATTTTAGAATTCAAATATCTTTTCGCAAACTCTAAATTCTCCTTAATATTTAGTTATTTACTTAATTATCTTCATTTCCATACCAAACTTACCGTCTACATTAATTATAAATCATATAGTTAGTCATTTTCGTTGTATATATATATCAAATATTCTCGGCCGCGGAACAATTATTTTGCACTCTCAACACTTAAAGAGAAAACAAGCATCGTAATATTTTTTTTTAGATATTTAATATATATTGTTAGATTACTAATATTATTTAATGTATATTACATAGATCTTCTATTTAATTATTTTTAGAATTCATATTAACTTTACGCGTAATTAGCAAATATACTTGTTTTTTAAATTCTTTCTCGTGTAAGAACAAGATGACTCAAATATGACTGACTGATTTAATTAAAAATTTGGCTATTTACATAATGCATGTATCTTAAATCAATCAATTACTTAAATGAATTAATATTATATTTTTTGAAAATACGAGGACTGCAATTATCTAAATATTTTTCTTATGAAATATACAGTTTTTATTTATGAATATGACTTTCTTATGTCTTTCGTTCAATCTAAGCAGAGTAATATATATATAATATTAAATAGGTTTCAAGTTAATGTTAATTACATATTATGCAATACCTTCTTTGATATAAAAAAAAAACAAACAAAAAAATACTTAAACATAATTAAAATATAATTATTCATCTAATTCTTCATATAATTAATCATTCATAAGAAGTTAGAATATAATTTTCGTGTGTGATATGCAGGAAAGCTTGATATTTTTATTATTTTAATGAATAGAGAAAAATTAAATTTCATAGTATACAATATATAAGTTTACTAAGAATTTAAACATATATGCCATTATGTCGTATTAATACAATCCACTATTATTAAAACACTCGACTATTATTAACAATCGACTCTAGTATACTCAAAATTTATTTGTACAAAATATTTCTTGCATAAAAATAGCCTACATATTTTTACCTAAACTGCACTAAAAGTATCTTTGCTTTATATACTTATTAATAATTATATTAATATTAATCGGTTCTCTTTTCAACGTAAATCACTTTAAATGAAATTATATTCTAAATAGCATCTATGTTTATTAAAAAATCTATTTTTATTTATAATTATAAATATTGATAGACTGACCATTCTTTTTAAATGCATTCAAAGGACATATAAAATTCTATTTAATATTAATCCGAGGAAATAAATTTTTAAGGTCGTATTTTTAATTCCACAGTAGTATTAATTTAAATGCTTTAATCTTTTCTAGCCTTTGAAATGTTTTCTTTCTTATTTTTATATTTTTAACTTATTGATTATACATTTTTTTCTTAAATTATTATTTATTAACTTACATACTTTTAATTTCATTAAAAGTATAACTTCAACATATCTTTATTGTTTATTTACAAATAAGTTTAAAATTTTCAAATTGTAAAATTCATAAAAGTATTTATGGATTTATTTAGTTTCATTTCTTTTCTTGCAAATGATTAATGATACTCTTATAAAAAATGGTATTTAAACAAACAGTCATCTACTTTTCCAATTTTTTATAAACATACTCTATTTATAATGTTAAATTTACACATGTATTAGAATTTTTTCTGTTTTTTTATTTTTGGAATTTCTTTTCTAGTATTTTAATTTTGAACGAAAATAGATTTTTTTATTATAGAAAATTATAAAGACTTGCAGGTAAGTTTCAAATTTTTTTATTACTTATTTGTTTATTAGAGATAATTATAATTTACACGTCTAATATCATTTATTAAATTAAAAATGCTTGAAAACATGAAAAATTTTTAAATAACTTTATTAAGTTTCATACTTTTTTCAAAAATATTATAGAATAATTTAATAAAATAGCAAATATGTAAAAACATTCTGCTTAATATTCCCTATGCATTATTTAAATTATTTGAGTTATTATTTATTAGTATCATTAGTATTATTAGTATTATTTATTAGTTATTTATAGTAATCTTTTCAAACAAAAATCATTTTCATTGAATAGAAAGATATTTTATCCATATATAAATATATATAATATAATAATTTATAATATAAATATATATATATATATATTTTACTTTTACAAATTTTACTAAAAGGAAAAAAAACTCAACTATAATAGTAATTTCAATGAAATTCGAATTAAAGGTATTATATGACGAAATCAATAATAAATTAATTGTCCCTTATTTAGATAATATTTTGAAATTATGTACATAATTTAAAGCTTAAATTTCATATTTTTATTAAACCATTGGAAAATCGAAATGGTATGCGCAATTTAATATAATTAAAAATTTTCAATTGTATGTAATAAACTGTAATTAAAGAGATGCAGAATTTGTATTGATTTATTTGAAAGAATTACATAATTTTCTCTTATTATTGTACTTTTCTCTATATTTCAACATAGATCTTAGAAAAGAATATTATTGACTAAAACAAATTGTTAAAACATAAGATTTTTATGAACGTAGTTTTGAATTTGTAAATTAGCTGCTATGTCTGCTATATCTATATGTGGGTATGTATATTCTGTGCATATGTAGAATATGAAATAAATTGTGTAAATATGTATATTTCAAAAGCTGTACAAACTTATGTATAGATTTTTTAAAAACATCCATGAAATAAATTTTTATACAAATTTTTGGTGATTTTTAGATTTATTAGCTTTCTACATATTGTGTATTACTAATTTATAAATAATGTTTCATTTCCATTAGCATATTTCCAATAATATAGATAATTTTACACAATAACATTTAATACAGACAAATTAACCACTAGTACTTATTAACACTGTAAAAGTGCACTTTATACATAATAATAGAATAGATTATATTTATTTACAAGCAAAAAAATCAAGAATTCATTAACTTATAAGTTAAAATATATAATTAACACGTGTATTGTTATTAAATTTTATTTTTTATTAATTTGTATTATAAAGAAATGGAGAAAAATGGTTTGTTGGAAATATTAAAATACAATTTAGGTAGTAACTGAGTATTTATTAGGATCTCTATATAAATACATCTTTTCTTGCGTATCTTATATTATTATAACTAGTTTATATTATATTTTATAGTTGTCTTTAAAATTAAAAATTTCTATTAATTTTTTATTAAGTCCATCATAATACAAAATGCTATACTTCATTTTTCAAAATTTTTCTACTTTATTAGTTTTGTATAACATGTAAAGTGCATGAAAAATACTGGACTTTAAAACTTATATAGTTTGAAAACTTCAAAGAACAACAAATATCTTTAAAATAAAAAAATAATTAGGAAAATGTCACTAAATATGCGTTAATAGTAATTAGAATATAAGCTTCTCAGCTAGACGCGTAATGAATGAGTGTAGAGCTACACTAGTGGGTTATAACGCTCTTTTCTCGCATTACATGTCACTACGCCATGTACAAGCTATTTATACAATAATTAAGTTGTATGTTGCATGATTAGTTGTCAGCTCGTGTTTAATAAGCCAAGCAAAAGATTCTTGTACTGAGGAAATGAAAAAAAGTATTTTTTCAGCAAGTCCGAAAGCATATTACTATGAAGAATAGAGTAAAATGTTACCACATTTATAAAAGAACCAAAGGGACAAGAGAGAGACAGAGACAGAGAGAGAGAGAGAGAGAGAGAGAGAGAAAGAGAGAGAGAGACTGAGAAAGTATAAATAATAAACAAGAATAGAGATACATATGACCATATACAGGATACGAATGAGTCACAGATATTCAAATTAAATACAACATTACCAACTTAGATGTACCGATCGAATAAATATTGAAAAAATTAATAATAATTCATAAAAAAATTTTTTTTTTAGTAATTAATTTATCTATGTACAATACCAGAATTAAATTTATTTTTATTAATTAAATATACAAAATTTGGTATAGTTATAAAAGTTTTGAAGTGTACTTATCTTATTAAATTTGTATATTATATGTAATAATATTTATATGATTAAATCATTATCATTAATCATTTTTGATTTTTCACTTTTGTTACAATTCATTAATATTTTATAAATGTACATGAATTTATAAATATATTATAAATATATTTATAAATATAAAATTAGATTATTGTAAACAAATATTTATTTTAAACTTTTATCAATATTCCTTTTCTAATATTATATATTATATAAAAAATTT